CAGATCTGGTGCTGTACTTGGCTATTTGCTATTTCTTTCTCCTCACTGGCTCTCTGCTCATGGGTGCTACCACATAACACAGTGCAGCAGTGCAGCACCCCATTCATGTGGTATCACTGACACAGAGTCTTTATTTTTCCTATTACTCCTTTATTTTGTATAAAACTTCTTTATCTATCATCCAGCCTATTCTCCTCTATTTTGTCTTTTCCAGTAAGTTCCAAATTATGGATATTTCCTCTTCTATCTCCAACACTTGGAGAAAGTTCTTCCCCATCCCATCTCAAAAACCTTCCTGTTGTTAATACTCTAATTTCTTGCATCTTTCATCTTTTTCTTGCAAATGGAGTAATTTGTTTTCCTGCAGGGTGGATTTGTTTGTTTTAGTTACTCTCACCCAGCACTTTGGATCAAAGAACTATGTAATTTAAAATAAGATGTCCTGACAATGTGAAACAAACCCCACTTGAACAAGGGCTATCTAAGATTGCATGTAGACTTGTAACATCCATTCATGTGAGTATTTCTCACCAGTTTAGGCCTTAGAAACCTAAATATAGATGTGAGGTGCCCAGCTGCTACTTCTCAGACTTGAGCTTAGGTTGTATCAAAGCCTGATTTTAGATGGATAAAGAAAAAAAAGACCAAAGAACAAAAACTAACCTTCTAATACTCATAAAATGCAAACCCTAGCAGAACTCCATAAGGGTAATTTTTTTATCACTGTCCAAATCTTAAGGATTTCCTGGTCAGTTTATATGTGATGCTTTATCTCTGGCCAGAAAGCATCTGCACCATCTTATACCTGCCCCTGGACATTACTTCAAGGAAGGCTGATGGGAATGATTTTGTTAGGAGATAGAAATCTCCTCCAGCAGCCTTTGATGTGGGGGACACAGCCACATCCCATGACTAATTTTTCCATAGGTCACAGGCCAGCTCACCCTTAGACTTATTTGCATTCAGACACTCTCCAGTAATATCCTGTTTTCTAATTTAGGAAGTACTGATGATTATACATGGGTTTTGGCTCATTCGAATTCCTTCCCTCTCCACTCTCCATTACATTGACAATTCATCTCCATGCATGTGTGAAGGAAGGATGAAAATTTCTGTCTCTCAAAAGAGACAAAATGCCATTGTTTGCTCCCTGTGAGAGAATGTGCTAGGGTTGAATTACTATGACAGTCCTGGTCGCTCCTTCTTTAAATGTTTTTACCTCATCCTCACACTGGCAGTGTGGTTTTTCCAAACCTATAGCTCACCTTTTCCTCCTGTTTGCAGGTCCAGCTGCTATTTCTTCCCTGACGGGTTTCTTTGTTGCAATCTGACAGTCAGTCCCACTGCTGCTCTTAGCTCCTTTACACACCCTTAACTTTAGATGCCTCAGCTTGCTTTGAGTTCAGTCAAATATTTTCATTTCCCTTTCCATACAGACAATGTTTTTCCCTTTCCCTTCCAGATTAAATTCTCTCCCACACAGATGATTGTTTATCCCTCTCCAAAGGTCATCCAGAAGGTGGTTTCATAACCAGTTCGACCATTGATGGGCCATGCGGTGCTGTCCTGATTCTCTTGCAGGTGAGATGTGGGAGAGTAATGTGGGAGATGCATCAAGTGTCATGTGGGGTCTGATTGCCTCTGGGCTTCCCAGCAAAGTAAAACCCTAAACAAAGATTATTCCCAATCTAGCAAGCTGCTATCAGTCTGTATTGCCTCCAGCCCAGCCTGGCTCATCACGCAGCAGTGAGGAACAGCAGCCAGCGCCTGTCTGGTCAGCCTTACATATGAACGAAAGGAATGCAACCTCCTTCCACTGCCTTCCCACTCCCCCCCCTGCTCCCCAGCCCATGGTTTTCTTGTTTTCATGCACTGCAGTAAATCCCTTTGATCCAGCAAGTGGACTTTGCACGTGCAAGTTGGGTGATGAGTCTGCATCTGCCTCACTGCCTGTGAACCCCACACTGAGAGCTCTTTGTCTGCCGGGGCACTCGCACCCTTTTGCACAGAGCCCACACTGGCAGACTGCTCTCGCATGACACACTAACAAACCACCAGCCAAAGGAAAATATCTCGCAATCATTTCAGACCCTCTGGCTCAGCCACTGACTAAGCCAAGTGGCTACTAGCCATTGGCACTGCTGGGTTGCATTTGCAACCCACACCACAAAACTCAGCTCAGGCGCGAAAAAAACAAAGTACTGATGGAAAAAAGGGCTCCTTGTCCTTAGCCCTGAAGGGTGCAGGGGAAAGGAGGCAGCCCTGCCATTTATAATTCAGTCCCAAATTTTCACAGCTATTTCTCTCTCTGACCCTTTCTTTACCAGAGGCAGGAGCTCCCTGTGGAGAGCCTGAAGAGGTTAGTGTGAACAGATTTAATGTCTGGTCTGTACCAGGTCTGATTTAAGGCATCCAATGGTCAGTGTTTTTTAAGGGAAAGAGCACCTAAGCAGTATGAAGGGGTCTGAATGACTTTGTGCTTTGGACTCAAATAAGCTGGTTAGATAAGCCCATCACCTTCCTCCCCCCAGTTCACTCTGATTATGCCCCAGATGTAAATGTTCAAAGGTACTTAGGCAACCTGCTTTCCACAGACAAAAACGAGAGACAGGTTCCTACCTGATCCCAGGTTCTCCCTCAAAGATGTGTTTTAACAACAAGGCTGCATTCAACCCTCATCAAAAAGAGAAACCATGCTTTCTAGACAGCTGTGCACAGCTAGGACACGGTCAGGGCCAGGGTGGTTATACAGCTCCCAAGACAGGAGAGCTCCTCATCCAAGTTTGTATTCCCTCTTGTCTTTTGCCTTCCTGCTTTCTTAACAACCTATGTCATCCGCTTAGGACACAGCAAATGGAAACAGAAACACTCCCATAAAGTACTAAATGGTTTAGGGGCTGGTTAAATTACTGATGGTTTAACTGGCAAGATCAGAAGGGTAGCTGAATCCTCTAGGTAAGGTGCTGAGAGTGGGAGGTGTGGGCTCCACACCCAGGCAGATGCAGTCCCATCATCTGATAAACATCTTCCTTATCTGCCAGCAAAGGTGGACTTGCCTTTCTCACCATATTGAGTGCTGCTGTGGATGGGCAGACTCAGCACATCATGGTCTAAGGCTACTCAACAGAAGTATCACAGGGCCGGTGAGAAACGTTTCTCATGGCTGAATTGTAAAACACAAGATTTCACATGCTGATGTTAGACAGGAAAGATTTTGACCCTAGATACTAAATTCAACCAGACCTAACACTGGGTTCAAAAGCATGCAAAATCTTACAAGGTTTTGATACCAAAGGGTAAAGGTGCTAAGAGATTAGTAGTTTTTGGAAGTGCCCTCCAGGAATCCATTGTCCACATCCCCACCTACTGGGTGACAAAAACAGAAAAACTCCACAAGTTCACCCTTTCCAGGCTATTGTGTCACATTCCTGACTAACTTCAGGAAAAGCTGTGTAAGAATCATCACCTTCAGCTCAAGGAGAAGCGTAGGGGTTGTATCTGAAGAAACAAGACCACTGGGTTAACAGCTCTCATACTCTTCATTTGTGCCTTCATGGAAGAGACGTTGTCTGTTGGGAGGCCTCGGCTGGGACATCCCATTGGAAGCTCCATAAGGGTCCAGCCTCACCACAGCATTGGTGCTACAAGGAACCAACCTTCTGACCATGTTGACGCAGATTTTAAAATGACTGCATTATTTTCACTGGCTTTCAAATCACTGGATCACAGGTGATGTCACTCCTGGCAAGGTGGCTATCCCCAGTAAAAGCACTAGAAAGTCCATATAAAAGATCAAACCCAATGTCTTTTATGACTTAGTATGATTTATATTTCAGATCATGTAACTTATACAGGGCTGCCTAGTATTTGATGGATGCAGCTCTCTTAACAACCCACATTACTTGTCTGATTTACTGCATTGGCCCAACGTGTTATTTTCTACCTTTCAAGAACAACCTTGCTTCTAGGAATCTGCCTGCATGATAAGATTGTGAATTAAATGTGCAGTTATCGTAAGAGACCACACATTTTACAGTAAAATTGAGAAAACTGATTACAGCAATCCCTCTGGAAACAAGAATAATCACATGATAAGACAGTGCTAATGGGAGTTTATCATCTCTCACCACGTGTGAAGCTTAGAACAAAGCAGCAACGTGTGTGAACTGCATAGCTGTTAATGCCAGTGAATACCAGGCGAAAAGCTACTGGAGAGTATGAAGAAATGAGAGGAGAGTGGGGAACCTGAACTATCAAACCTAAGCCAATTCAGTGTGCTTCAACCAGCTTACACAGTGAAGCTCATATACAACATTTGTAAACACTATTCAAAGTAACAGCCTCACATCTATGCATACATCCTATTCCCTCTCACCTACACTATTTCATTCAAACTCCACGTCATTCTTTTACTTGTTCTCACTCTATTTTAGCACCAGAGAAGTCCAAGATCATGAGTATCTGAAGGGTATGTGCATCTGCGTGCCTACATGTCTGCATCTACGCACACACTGTCTCATGCACATTATTCCTAAACCCTGTATCTAAGATCTGAAACACATTTTTCTCTTTACCCCATACAAAAGGCAACCACAACCTACCCACGCTATGTTCTATATGAAGCAAGTAACACCTGACTAAAATTAACATTTTTAAAGTTGTCTTGGGGAACTGAGTGCCAAAAACCCAAAGTGAAATGCATACAGTTTTAACATGAATGATACATCTACATCCCCTAGGTAGCCTAAAATTACTCTGCATCAAACCCCATAAGACATATGAAACCCCAACAGGTTAATGGTAGGTGGTGAACTCCTCTGTTCTATTGAATAATGGGTACATTTGCTGGCCTCCCATATTTTTCCACTGCTCTGTTTCATAGACAGAAGCTTGGACATTCAGAAGATTTTTTTTTTTTCCTTTTCTAAATGAGAATAAAAGGAGATGGTTACAGTTAGGTGGCAGGAGAACAAGATAAGAGAAGCATCCTACATAAGTACCTGTATGAGTCCTCTGGTGAGCCTTTAAGTGGGAGCTCTTTGTATAAACTTTCCGGCACCCATTAAACTGACAGCGATGAACCCTCTTCTTGTTTTCTGGAGATGTTTCTGTCCCCGAACCTCCTTGTTCACTGTCACTTTGCCCGCTTTTTATCGTCCCCGCAGTCGCTGTTGCTACACCCACTTTTACAGAGCTGAGTGAAGTTTTCTTGGCTACCAATTTCAATGTCACTGTGCCATCCACCGCTGAGAGAGTCTGTGAGGTTTTTACAAGATGGCGGCTGAGCTCTGGCGAGGAAGGGGGAGTTAATGAGGTTACTGCATTGAGCTGGGCCTGGTTCACGGCTGTGTAGCCTTCTGTGGAAGAGCTGGTGGACTGCGAGCTGAGGCACGTCTCAGACAGCAGCTTGTCACGTGAGAGGATAATGTCCATGTTGGCGCTTTTGTCACACGTACTTGTCTCCACTGGTAAAAGGATGGGGTCCAGCTGTCGGATATTGTCCTCCACATCTGGGGCTGAGGAGGCATGAAGGAAGCAGTCCAACTCCTCACCAAAGGTCTCAGAGATCCTGCGTGGTTCAGTCTGAAGGTATCGCTCCAACTCCAGGCATGTCTGCAGAAGGGAGAGGGAGAGAAACCGATGTTAGAAAGAGATTACAGCATAGCTCTCACCTAGGGCAGGAGAACAACAAGGTCCAGAGACATTTAAAGACAGTTATCATGCACACCCACTCCTTGTGAGATGGTTACACGTTGGGAGACGCGGAGATTTGGCCTTTGTTTGATGCTTCTGCGAGACAGAGTCTGGGAATACCCACGTATGGTAGCAGGTATTATAACAGAAGTGAAGACATGACAACCAGAAAGCATCCACTTTTCATTAAAGTCTGTACATTGTTCAGGGGTAGTAGGACCTTCCCAATTTTAAGTGTAATCTGTCCAACAGTCACTTCCATGCGAAACAATCCTAATGGACCCATTGCCTGGCCATGTGCAAACAAAAAGTCACCTCTCCAAATAACTGCTTCCTCTTTCTTCACAAACATTAACTTTCACTCCAAATTTAACTCAGTGTAGTTGGCTGGGGCCCAATCTGTTCCTAAAACAGCACAATTCTGAAGTGTAGCATTTTAAGACAGGAGACAGAGAAAAACTTCCATTGACACCACAGCTTGTTTAAAGGGCCTCAGAGAAGGAAAGGAGACAGAAAAAAAGGGTCTGCAGTCAGTTTTAGAGGGATTTTCGGCAAATTTGGTCAAATGGGGCTTCCTGTGTACAGGACACTGGACTTACACACAAACAAACGTGCACACCTTATTAAAATGTAAGTGATGTTGCAATCAAAGAAGCTGCCACATAAAAACCTGTTTCTGCATCTCCACAGCAGTGATCACCAGTGCAAGAATGGGGGGAGCCTCCTATGTGAATGTGCCCTATTATGAGGTGCCCTGAGCTCGCCCCAATAAAGCCTCCAGGCACCATCACACTGCCCAATGTTCTCCATAGCCAACATTATAAACTTTTATTGTCTATAGAAAACTGTCTGCTCTAGTTTCAGGAGCTTTTAATGGAGTTTATTAGCACAGTTTTTCATTTCTCGCTGCCTGAAAGAATAGCTGGTTAATACCACCACTGTGATTTCACAGGACTGGGATCTAACTAATACTTTTTAGAAACCTCTGAAAACTACTCCTCAGAGAACACTTCTAGAGATATTAAGAAAGGGATTTTAAGCAAAAATTTTGAGTCTACGGGAGCTGGTGACCCAACTACATCTCAGTCTGGAGAGTCCATCATCTGATCAAGAAATAAAAGCTTTGTATGACTAGAGGAGGGACAGAGACCTCTGCCTTCTGGGTACAAAGGTACCATGAACAGGAGTGTAAAGAAGCCCCACTCAGCTCTCTAGGAGTTGCCAGGTAATTCAGGCTTATTATTTTCAAAGCTCCCATGGACCAGCACTGCTGGTTGCAGATATAATGTGGTGGGATGACTTTCAGAGTTTTCAGCAAAATCTGCCACACTGTTATCTGTTGTTTCCTCTTTAAAAAAATAGCTGATTATAGATCTGAGCTGTAGAGATGGACTTGGACAAAAAGCAACAGAACGGCGATATATTCAAGTGAGACGTGCTATACTTCAGCATGTAGGTTATTTTCAGAAGTATGAGACTGTCTGCACAGTCCTGGGGGTGGGACATTTATCAACTGTACTTGCCTTTAGCAAACTTTCCATTTTCTTTACAAGGTGCGTTTCTAGGACCATAAGAAACACCTTTAGCTGGAAATCTGGTCTCTCCCCAGATAAATCTTAATGGGTTTTGGGAGAAGCTTTCCAACATTCCCCACAGTCTTTCAGGAATAAACCCCATCACCAGAAGAGGCAATGCTTTTCAGTTCGACACATCATGTAATTTGGGCTTTCTGGTCCGCTTAGCCTTCATCTAGTGGGGCAGAAACAGGTTTAGGGGCCTAATAAATAAAAGGTTTCCAGAGGAAGGAGCAAGCATAATCACAAATTAGGGGTGGAAAGGGGGGCAGCAGGGGGGACAAGAGAGAAGGACTCAAGGCCATTAAATCTGATGACAATGACATGAAATTTCAATTGCTGTGGGATCAGAAAGCTGCATGCCAGCTCTGGGCTGCCCGTGGAGGGGAGGCAAGCAGGAGGTGCTGCTCCTTTAAGGCATCACTACCCCATGACAACAATAGTGGGCCTGACAGTTTTTTCCAGCTTCACCATTAATTTTCCATAAAGAGCAGTTTCTCGATGAGCCCTTTTCAGGCAAAGCCTGATGCTTCAGAAACCTGTAATTATTCCTGGCTCCCCCCTCCCGCAGCCACTGCACCTGTGCCATTTCAAGACACCAGCTGGTCATGTCTTGCCTTCTGCCTCTGAAATCCAAAACCAGTGGATCAAGCCCATCTCCCCATAGAGGGGGGAGAAAAACAACCCCAAGAAACAATATAATGAGGTCCCTCCCTCCCACCCCCCTCAGCCTCTCCACCAAGTCAATAGCGGGAAAGAGCCTAGCAACACTGAGCCAGAAAAGCCCTGCACCTAATCTGCATGGCAGACAAAGCCTGGCGAGGGGTACAGCCACAGCCCTTCCTTTACCTCCTGCCAGGGCCCTACCTGCTGCTGCATTTGCCAGAGCAGGCTACTGCCCACAGAAACAAAGCATCTTTCCCCATATGCACTTCCCAGCCTCTGCCAAGTACCTTATGCGACCTTCTCTCCTAGAGGTCCAAATCACCCAGGGAGTGGTGGGGAAGGGTTTAGAAACCAGCCTGCTTCCTTCACTCCTGCCCTGGCATGACAGTCAACTAAGCCCATCTCTTGCCTTGAACTCTGAACTGGAGAAACCAGTCAGGCTGAGAACCTCCAAGGTTCCCCACTCCAGCCTGGTGGATCATCATGAGAGGCAGGAGAGTTCTCCATTCCCACAAAGACATTTGCCAGCAAGCACATCAGAAAGTACCAATTTTTTTTGTGGAAGCAGCAGGATATCGACCACTATCCACAGGGATATGAACCCAAACTGCTGAATGCAAATGATGGTAAACCACTGTAGATCTCCTACTTCCACTACCAGCCTAGTAAGAAAATGGTTCAAGAATATCAAAGACAGAAGTGAGCTGCTCTTGTCATAGTTCTGTTTGGATGCTTCTTCTTAACCACTCATGCAAGAGAGAGGGAGCTTTGTGTAAAACACATGACATTAAGTCCGATGATCCTTCGGTTGCTACATTGCAGGCAACTTGGTAAGTATTAAACTTTCTTACGCAGTGCCTGTAGGATTTACAGCAGTAAAAACTAAGAATTGCAATGGGAAGAAGAAGATGGCTCCCTTCAGGAACACAAGAAGAAGATCTGTAAGACTGCTGTTTGCTGTCAAGCCAGTTTCATAGGCTAGGGATAAAAAGTGACCCACTACTTCAACCCTTCTGCCCTGATTAATGAGGGTCATTCTCTTTGCACCTTGCTCCTCAGTTTAACCAGTTAAAAGAAATGATGATTCATGGTTGACAAATAACAGGATGTGACTTTGCAAGACGCCACATACTTGCAGAAAGCCAGACAGAAAAGGATGGCAGTCTGGCAGAGGACAATGCTGTCAAGGCCTCAGTCTGATTTTTCAATTTTGGATACAACTGAAAAAAGGCTCATTTCCCCAGCAAAGGAACATTTCCATCACCTCCAAGAAACACTGTGTTTTCTACCTGTAACTCTGAACAGCTCTTCGCTCCCTGTATCATAATATCATCCCAGTTCTCTGGGGCACATATAGCAGCAGAATAGATGTAAACTGCACACCATGACACTTCCATGGGCAGTACCAGATCCTTCAGACAGTACAAGACAGCTACAGTTACAGTAGTGCTGTCCTATGCCTGGTAAGGACCTACTTCTTGCTAGTCCTTTCAGAGTTTCTAGTAGTACTAATCCAGGAAAACTCAGTGTTCAGTATGTCTGTCGATTCAGAAAGGTATGACCTCTAATCTAGCTGTATTCTTACCTACAGAGCCCATCTAAAGCTCATATACTGAAAGTAAAGATTATTTACCAAATACATTGAGTACACCCACCACTACAAAATACAATGCAAGACCACCACCATCACCAGTGTGCCAAGCCTCAAGGCAGTGTAAGGTATCCAATGCCTCTGTCTCCCCTTTGGAGAGCGATGGGGGAAAGACATGGCTGTAGGCCAGGAGCCATTGTAGGGACACAAGTTTGACGTCTGGGTTCAGGTCTACACAGCTCTGGAGAATCTAATTCCAACTGATGACCCAAGATACAGTTCCCAGGGTATAAATCCAAAGTTGCTCCAACGAATTCCAAAGAACTAGCCTTGGTTGACAGCCATGTCGTGCACTGGACTTTGACCCATACCTATAGGCTTTTGAAAAATCACAGGTCACTTCAGAAGCACCTGCCTATGCTGGGAAGTCTTTAACTCACTCTCCTGGGCATTTTGCACAGTTAAGATAGGACAATATGGCAACAGTAAAGTTCAGGGTAAAAGGGTAAAAGAAAGCCCAAACATTTACAATAACTTGAGGACAGAAAGTCAGGGAAGACACCTTATCAACAGGTTTATTGGGTTCCTCTGTTTTACTGATGCTCAAGTATTTTATAACATCTTGATTCTGAATTTTTCCAGCAGATCATGAGCAGTTCTTACCTGTAAGTGCTAGTTACTTCCAAGTGCCATTTTACTGCAGATATAATTGGACATCAAGCACTGGACTTGGAAGTTATCCAAAACCTAATTAAGAGGTTGGATACTTAGATCAGGCTGTGACAGAGAATGAAAATGTCGAATGTGGTTGACAAGCAGGTCTGATCTACCAGCTCTGTTTACAGTACTTGGAAGGATTCTCTTTGTAATTTACACAAGCAAAGCAGAATTATACACGCAATAGTGAAGGTCAAATTTCAACCTCCATCACGACCCCATTGCTTTCCACTGGCAGGTAAAAAAGGGGCTTCATATCTAACTTCAAATAACTGTGAAAGTCTCAAGACTGCAAAGGAAGAGAAAGTATCCTCAACCTGAGGACAACTCAAACCAATAATACTAAGGTCAGTGCCACCACAGTTCACTCA